TGTTAGCATTTTATGGTATACAATTATGTTCATAATATAAAACTTTCAAAAACTTTTAGATAATAATTTATCTAATCAATTACCCTTATCAGGGGTAAATATGTCGATGAATGATATATAGCAATACTCTGTCATTTGTACTTTGGGAGATATATTAAAATGAATTGTTCAACGGACTTTCTGTTTCACCTAATATTTATAACATTTTCTACATCAAAATATTTGAAGGTCATAGTACGATATTTTGCTTTTAGTAATTTTAACATGGTGTTTAAATAACAATTTTAATTATTATAATTTAATCTAGTATACTGTAATTTATAAATATATAACATAATTATATAGTTCAAATAGGTATAACTTGTAATTGAACTATGTATCTATTAATGATTTGAATATTATTTTGTTTGCCTAGGTCCTAGTAAATCATTTTCAAAAATTAGAACTCGATTATGATTTATAGATTTTGTGACTTCGCTGATCCCTGTTCCGCACCATCCTTTATGAATCAGGGGAAAATGTGGCATATGAAATGTCAGAGCAAAAGCCACATCATAAAATTTTTAATGACCAAGATCACCGACAATCCAGTCTTTGATTTTGAGTTTTGTCGATGACCTTGAGTAATTAAACTTTTATTAGAAACGTGCATTTATTTTTCAACACAAACTGTATAGATATCATAAACATTGTATTAATAGTATCAAATAACAAATCCTATGGTATGAATACAATGATTATATTATCAATTCAGTTTATTTGAAAATATATACCGGTTTTATCTACGTTGTGATTAATATATTGAGAGAAAAAATAGCGAGTTTATTTCCATACATTCTGTCAAATTATAAATGCTAATACTATATAGTAAACCAATGTTAAATTATTTTACATGTAATCAAAATATGATATATAATTTATTAATAAATTATAAAATAAGAGCATTATATAACTTTAGATATACAGTATGAGTAATTGATTAGATAAATTATTATCTAAAAGTTTTTGAAAGTTTTATATTATGAACATAATTGTATACCATAAAATGCTAACAACTTCTTAGCAACTATCATGTCTTTTTTATACTCTGAGTATACTTTGAACTAGTGAGCACTGAAATAGTTGGTTATTTATGAGAAATAATAGTGTCCATTTTAAAAATATATTTACAATAGTAAACTTCGTATTTAGCAAAAAAATATTTAAATAATAATATTCATATATATTGTTAAAAATAACAGTGAGAATATATAATTATTATAATTAAACTAACACATAATTTTTAATACTGAAATTTTACTTAATGTAATAATATAATGTAAATACTTTGTGCGAATATAATGTAATTATTATTAGTAGTAAAAATATATTTCAAATATAATATAGAATATTTTATATTTATTATATATCACTATGTTATTAAATAATTATAATATTTGTGATAAAATACCCGAAAAGCTTAAACTAAAAATTAAGTTGTTTTACATTTTCGACGACTCTATGGGACATAACATACTGTTTGTAACAAATGATGATTTGGTGTACGCTTTGGGAACCAATAGTGAGGGTCAGCTCGGGTTAGGACATAATACACCCATTCATACACCACAGGAAGTGCCGGAACTACACCTCAAAAATATACAACAAGTTTTGAATGGTGAGGCCTTTGTATTGGCTTTCAATACGGAAAGTAATGTGATATTCAGTTTTGGACGCAATAATTGGGGACAATTGGGACGGGATGTGGAATGTGATTTAAATGTATATCATAAACCCGATATTATTTCGTATTTCATATCAAATAATTTAATTATTAATCAAATAAGTTGTGGTGAATATCACACAAGTATATTGACAATTAATGGCCGTGTTTACGGTTGGGGATGCAACCTATGGGGACAAATTAATAATGAAAGTTTAAATTCCATATTAAAGCCAACAGAAATAACATTTGAAAATGATTACAAAGTTAACAAAATTATGTGCAGCGAAATGGTAACATTTGCTATAACACTGAGTGGACATGTATTCATGTGGGGAGCGAACGAATTTAAAGATAAAAATGCACCGAAATTGCTAGAAAATGTTGCTAACATTCAAAGTGTTTGTTTTGATTCAATTAACCTATATTTACTAACATATGATGGGCTATTATACTTATATAATTTTAACAAGCTATGTATGAAACAAGTATGTCATTTAATTTTCACTGAAATTAACCAAATATATTCCTTTGGAGAATACCAAACTCTAATAACCGGTAAATCTGGTCATAAAATTTATAAAATTGTATCTTTACAAATAATTGAAACAAATTATGAATCAATTGATGAGTATTATGCAAATGATTTGCAATTGACTTTAAAAGCAATCTGCATAGATAAAAATGATAATAATGATTTAAAAAGTAAGAAGATCAAAAATGAATGTAGTGAGTATTATAATTTATTCACAGAATTTATAAACTAAAATTCTAAATCGAATTATATATTATAAAACTGAAAGAAATTTTACTTAAAACTATATAATTTATATGGCTTATCAAATAGAATTAGTGATATTTTTAAAAATAATTTTATAAATAATTATAAATTATAGAATATATAGACATACAGTATATAGAAAACATATATAAAACAACGTTGTTTAAAAATTTAATAAATTTTCAATTATATAACATGAAACATACTTTAATGTAGGCACTAATTAAAATTATCTTACAATTTTTTAATATTTTAGTTAAACATTTTATTCGTTAATTCTTCCATTTAGAAAATTATTTTTTTAATTATTCCTTATTAGAAAGTTCATATATCTTCTGTTAATTATAAAAATAATTAAATAATTAAAATATTTTTCGAATTTAGTTAAATTTTCGATTACAATATATTGTATGTTGAAAATCTTATAAATAATTTTACAATATATTCTTTATGTTTTACTAAGATGTTAAAGATGATTTTGTTGAGAAATTTCCTAAACTTTCGAATAACATCATGAATCACCTTGGTGAAGGACTTTTTGGGGAAGTTTATAAAATACAAAACGAATTCAACAATAGTTATTATGCTCTTAAAATATGTCAATTAAATGGTATAAAAGTTTTTTTGTCATTTATACTTGCAACCAAAAATGTATTCAATTATTTATTTTAAAGGTTTGACAGAAAAAGAAAAAGAAAATATTTTGAATGAAACGAAAAGTCTTATGAAACTTCGGTCAGAGTTTGTGATTGAATACTACTATTCATGGATTGAATGCAATTGTCTTTACTTACAAATGGAGTTGTGTTTAGATAATCTCTATAATGTTTTGGAAACCAAGAAATCATTATTTAATGAATTGATGACTAGTATTGAGTTTTATATATCGTATCAAATATTCCTCGAACTCACAGAATGTGTGCAGTATTTGCACAAAAAGCATATCATTCACAGAGACCTCAAACCGGATAATGTGTTGATTTCAATGGACGGACGCATAAAGTTATGTGACTTTGGTTTGGCTAAAGATGTCGATAGTATTGATTGGTATCGTATGTCTAAAGCCAAACATACGGCAGATGTGGGACCTGTTGACTATATGGCACCAGAAGCACAGACCTATCATTACAATCATAAGATTGATATCTACAGTCTATCCCTAATTGGGGCTCAAATATTTGATTTCGATACATACGATATTATTGAAGGAAAGTATGTTTCTTTAAAAGTTAAATTGAAAAATAATTAATAAATTTATTATACAAAATATTTTAAAATCTTAGAATTGAATCACATGAAAAACACAACAAGGAAGTTAAGGATCTGATGAATAAAATAAATTTACTATTGATGTCAATGAGTGTTAATAAGTATCGCAGAAATGGTTCAACAGATTGGAGGGAAAGACCCGAATGTTCGCACATTTTATCACAATTGCAGACAATTATGTCAAATAAGCTCATTATTGATGAAAACAAATTAAAATTATTTGAGACGATTACTGATACAAAATATAAAATTTTTTATAAATTATTTATGAAGACCAAAGGATTATATTTTAAAAGTATAACTAATGAAGATTCAAATGTCGGTAAGAAATGAATTTTTAAATATTCTATAAATAATTATACTAAAAGGTGTTATTTAAATTAATTCTAATAAACTATTTTTAAAAGGTACAACAATATATAATTTTGATATTATAAATAAGCTTGGTGAAGGTGGTTTCGGACAGATATATAAAGTTACAAACAAAACAAACAATGAATATTATGCTATAAAGGAAAGTCGATTAAATGGTAATAATATTTTCCTTTTTAATATATTGATATTTTCATAATTACATTAAATAATTAAAAGGTTTAAGCGAAAAAGAGAAACAAAATGTAATGGATGAAACAAAATTTCTTATAAGCTTACAATCAACATTTGTAATTCAATACTATTATTCATGGATTGAATGCAATTTTCTTTACATACAAATGGAGTTATGTTTCGATAATCTCACAAATATTATGGAAACTAAGAAATCATTGTTTAATGAATTGATGACTATTTCTGAGTTTTATATATCATATGAAATATTTATCGAACTCACAAAATGTGTGCAATATTTGCATGAATCGGATCCACAGATCATTCACAGAGACCTCAAACCGGATAATGTGTTGATTTCAATGGACGGACGCATAAAGTTATGTGACTTTGGTTTGGCTAAAGAGGTCCATAATTATGATCCGTTTAATATGTCTAAAGTTAAACATACTGCAGACGTGGGTTGTTTTCATTATATGGCACCAGAAGCACAGACCTATGATTACAATCATAAGATTGATATCTACAGTCTATCAGTAATCGGGGCTCAAATATTTGGTTTCGATACATACGATATTATTGACGGAGAGTATGTTTGATTTTAAATTAAATTATAAATTAAAACTAGGCCAGCTTGTTAATTAACTATCTTTCTTTATCTGTTTTTATCAATTTCCAAAACCTAACCTTACCAATCCGAGCAGTAAACCTGCCAATAACTTAATATATACTGTAGTAGCGTATATAATCCTTTCTACTAATTAAGATTTCAAGTGCAATAATATTTTCAAATAAAAAATAAATAATAATCTGTTAATCGTTTGTCACTCGCGCATACAGACAATTGTTGCGAGCCCCGACATTCAGACATAATTTTATTAATACAATTATGGTCAAATCTATACCGAGTCGTAAAAAGTTGAAAAGCTTTTGAATAGATAATCCAATCTTTAATCCGTTTTCACCATACTGTATGTAATAATAATAATTATAATGTCAAAATCTGGTGATATACTATTTACTATATCAATATTCATCAGGATAACTTATTAATTTATTTTCAATATTTCTCAGTGAAATTACATGTGGTTTTTACTTTAAACGATCATAATTCATAAATAGCTGTATCTTGTTCATTTATATTGCGAATTTGAAAATTTTGATATCATTCTGTTTATCGTTAGTGCATTTTTAATGAAGTTCTAAATTTTTACAATTCTTTTTAACCGTGTCCTAATAAAATCTGAATAAGTTCATTTGAAAAAGCTAAAATCTAATTTAGATTTGAATTTAGCATTTATTATAAATTAACATTTACCAATAGGCTAATTAGCTTAATTTATCTAAATGCATGTTATCGTTTTGAGTAGTATTATAACTTTATTTTAATTGCAAAATCTTAATCACAAATTTGTCTTTAAAAGTAATCTGGACTATTTGATTGTGTTCTTTCCAATGAGCTATACAGATTTGTTTTAGGAAATATGATTAAAAAGTAACAGACAGATTTTTTTAAATTGTAAAAATTCATAACTTCATTAAAAGTCTATGTTAATTACAAATAGAATGATGGTGATATTTTAAAATTTATAATAAAGATGACCAAGATACAGTTATTTAAAAATTGTTACCGTTTCGAGTAAATTAAGAAAATTGAAGTAATGCCCTCATGTAACTTAAATGGGAAATATTAGCAAAAATTGAAATTAAATTATTAATTTATCCTGATGAATTGATATAATAAATAGTATATAACTAAATTTTGACATTGTCAAACTACAATTCCGTGAAAACGGATTATAGATTGAATTTTCAATTCAATAGCTATTCAACTTTCCCGACCTGGATATATCTGATCATAATTGTATATTATTGACCTTTAAAACAAATCCATCTTTATTACAAATAATTGTATTAATTTTAGGATTAATTTAATTGAAAAATACAACACATATATTAATGAATTTATGCATAAAATGAATGCATTATTGGTATCAATGAGTGTTAATAAGTATCGCAGAAATGGTTCAACAGATTGGAGGGAAAGACCCGAATGTTCGCACATTTTATCACAATTGCAGACATTTATGACAAATAAACCCATTATTCATGGAAACGAATACAATATTTTATTGAATACTATTATAGAAAGAAAATGTTATATTATTTATAAAATATTTATAAAAGCACATCCTTTTTGTATTGTTCAGTTATTCCCTGAAAATATATTTAACGGTAAGTTAATGCAATATAATTTTATTCATTTATTTTAATATTTATATTGCATTATTTCTAGAACACAAAATGGAAATGAATTTATCCATGTTTGATGTGGACAATGAACAATTTATTTCATATAATAATTCAATACTTAAAGCGAAACACAAAAGATCTCATAAATTGTATTCATTAATTAAAATAAAAGTACCTGGTAAGATTTAATAAATTTTCACTAACTTTAGAAAGTCTTTCTCTGTACAACTCCCAACTTAATAAAACTTGCACGATTATATAGTTTAGCCATGTTAAATTAAGAATATCCTGGTCCGATATTATTTAAGAAAGTCGGTTGATCATAATACCGTGGTCAAGTTATTGATATTCGTATAAATCTCTATGCACACTCTATGGGCATTTATTGCGCTTTCATACATTATTTTAATTTTTAAAGTATGAGTAATGTAAAAGATGAATATAATATAAAATCTGAAAATTATACGAATATCGGAAAATTGTCTACGGTATAATGACCATATCACTTCACCATAGATTATCGGACCCGAATATTCTTAATTGAACATGATTAAACTATATAATCATGTCGGTTTTACCTAGTTAAGAGCTGAACAGATAATGACTTTTAATAGTAAACCATATAAAATATATAATTAAAAATATTTATATAAACACTTTCAATAACTCGATTCCAATCAATGTCTAATATCATTTTCGAAAATCATTGATAAATGATATTTAACCATCATAATGCAAATTATATAACTGTTTTAGACCCATCCTTCTGTTTTCAAATTAGGTCATAAATAATATAAAATTGCCAGGATATTTTAAAAAGTGTCAATAAAATGCAAGATTCCTAATAATGTAATTAATGTAATGTGATGAAAGTTCGCAAGATTGAATCATTGCTAGATGTTAAATTATTGTCACTCATAGTGTGCCCTTATTGGCTCGAGTGTGCATTATGGCTTTAATGCATCACACATTTTATGCTAATTCTTATTAATATTATTGTAGTTTATTAGTATTTATGACATGACTATTAAAAGTAAACAAAAGGAAATTTTCTAAATTGTAATTCCGTTAAAAGCATCGCTCCGATGTGTCTAATATTTGGGTAATTTAATTGGATGATGGACTGATTAATGTTATATATTTTGTTAAGGTAAAATCTAATTATTTATAACCACATTGGAACGCAGTGTTGCAGACAGAATGAATAATTTAAAAATCATAAATTTATTAAATTACAAATTGATTATTTAAAATTTAACTTTAATTCAATTTATTATTTACCATTTCATCAATAAGAATTTTGTAAAATCAATGAAACGGGAACGAGGTTTTAAGTCTTATATTAACAAATATATTTACCTGGATAAATTTGACATACTTTTTATTATTATTTTTTGTTTATTTCAATAGTTGTAAATATTTTCTAACTAGTTATAATTATATTAAATCTATTTACATTAATTTATATTTTTATTTTTAGATGATATCTTCGAAATGCTTGAATTATTAAATGATAATAAAAGGAAACTTGATTTTAAATCAAAATTCTTAGCTGAGTGCTACAATTTCTGGATTGAAAATAATTATTTATTAATTATAACAGAATTGTGCTCGCAAACATTATTAGATATAATTGAAGCTAAAAATAAAATTTTTAAAAACCAGACTTCAGTTGACATGTTTTACATTGATTTCTATATTTCGTATGAATTAATGCGAGAAATCTTACAATGCGTTCACTATTTGCAACAATATATTTACACCGAAATGATTGATTGGGAGCTTATATTTGCTAATATATTACTCGTAACTAAAATGGAAACTAGCAAATTTATAAAGGCAAATCCATTTTATGATAAATGTTTAAATAACCTAACCATTAAAATGCAAAAACGGAATTATAATTTTCATAAAATTGTTTGTGATTTATTTCAACAAATTTTAATAAGGTAAATATTTTAAAATCATAATAATATTAACGAGTTCAAATAACAAAATATTTAATATATTTAGGGAGAATAAACCAAAGAATTTTTACATACACTGGGATAAAATTGAAGATTTTATAAATGATTTGGATAAGTCAAAAGCAAAAACAAAATATAATAAGATCGATTTGAAACGGATGACAATTCTGGACACGTTGAGTGAATTTGAATCAACTTTTGTTCATAATATCCGCCTAACCGATGAAATGATGTCCACATTTCAAATACACATTAAGTCCATGGATTCAACAGAATATGACTATAATATTTTCAATGAATACGTTTTATATAAAAGTTTTTCAAAACCATATTTATTTCATTCTCAAAAAGAGCCTGGCTTCATTCCAATAATTGGCGGCTTTAAAAGATGGGTTAACAATTTATTTAAAATTGATGATTAG